CCTTGTCGTTTAAAATTTTCAAGAGGAAGGGTGAAATGGGGTGAAGTAGTTTTTGGTTATAAAGCTGCCAACCCTGTATAAAGTCAACTCAATGGAACTAACGTTGGGGAGCCAACATAGCTATATTGAAGCGTGGAAACACGGAGCATTCCCAAATTGGTCGGCACTTGATAAACTTTTAGGATATGGTAGAGGGTGTGTTTGATATATAGTACCTTGTGGCGCTTCAGTCAGTTGATGACAATTGTTTAACATCTTTTGATACATTTTGGTGTCCGGTATGAGGTCCATGACAGACCATACGGAATGTTATTTTAGCAACAATTGACTCTGACAGAACATGTAGGTGTATTTATTTTGGAGCACGGTGTAAAATGTCCATGTGAGTCAATTCGATAGATTCGGTTTGCTATTCAAATCCTCCTATTTTCCCTGCCCACCACCGAACATTCATGTAAAAGTACCGAAAAGCAGAAAAACATACTACCGAAATGTGCAGGTTTTAAAGTGTAATTAGGGTTAATCTAGGTGCCTGATTGAAAAGCTTTTGGACGAGATGTGTGCATGTATGTAAGCATTATTTACACCAGACAGGGTTTCAATAGACCCAGTGCCATCTCGTTTCGCGACATTTCAGTACGGTGAATACGGACTTTACACTTTAGTTACCTTTATATGTCGTATTGTAAGTATGCAGTGGTGTAGCGTAACCAGAGTTGAGTACTACTTGAGAAAATTGTTGTATAAAAAATTATCCAAATAAAAACTTATTTGCTATGGATTTATTCATGAATAAACTATTCGTTACTTTATACCTTATTTCAAATTATTTCTGGAAATTATTTTATATTACTTTAGGCATATTGTATATGAAAGATGAAGGGTTAAGATGAAATAGTGCAATTTGAAATTTATTATACAGGGTGTTTCAGTTTATTGTTGCATAACTTTAAGATTCGATTGGACTTTTAAAATTAATGCATAAAGTCTATATAAACATGGGTCGAAAAATGCGTGGCTTCCGAAATACAGGGTGTTTAAATTTACTTTCTAAAATAGTTTTTTTTAAATATTTCGAACAATATTTGATGTATAACAGTGAAAATTGGTATACAGGGGTTTTTTGGTACGACAAAACGAACCATGGGCATAGTTCTACTGTAGCCGCTAGAGGGCGCTCTCTACTGTATCTGTAATGTATTAAAATGACCGAAAAATTTTTCTTAGTGCAATTTTTTGCTTTTCCAATAAAAATACTGATTCTTCGCACTTTTCAACATAAAAAAGCCTGTGAGTTTTCGTTATAGTTAGCCATTTTTGAGATATTTCGATTTTTAAGGTTCGATGCATTTTTAATTATTTATGGGAAAATAATATTTTTTTCACATTTTCGATTTGGGCATTACAAGTAATTAAGACGATCGTTTAGATTGTGTTTTTAAACACAGCAATAATTCCTAACTCCAAATAAACGCAAAAAACAGAATATTAATTTGTTTAATTTTCCAATATTACTTTTAACAACTTAAATTAATTATTTACAACTAAAATGCTATTGGATAGTTAGGACAAACATACAAAATCTAAAGTAGTTGCTCCAAATGTAAACCCAATTGTTCAATACACAATTCACATCTACGAATGATCGAACGTGGTATAGCATTATTCAAATAAGGCCTTATTTCATCACATGCATTCCAGATTCTGTCTATTAGCATATCTCTTGTGGTTACTTTTTCTTTTAGAAATCCCCACACAAAGAAATCTAATGGTTTTAGGTCAGGGGATCGTGGAGGCCAGGCGACTGGCCCTCCACGGCCGATCCATCTTTCTGGATAATTTTCGTCCAGCCAGTTTCTAATTATTCTCGAATAATGAGCTGGACAACCATCAAGCTGGAACTAGGCCAATCTTCTTAAATCTAACATAACACCATCCCACATATTTGCATGTTCAGCCTTTAAAAATTCCAAGAAGGTCGCAGCATTTAACCTTGCAGGCAAAAGGTAGGGTCCAAATAGTCGATTACGGTAGATACCAATCCACACGTTCACACTAAATTCATACTGAAAATTTCTTTCCCGAACTGCATGCGGATTTTCATGCGACCAAATATGTTGAAAATGAAAATTTACCACTCAGCATCTAGTGAAGCATGACTCATCGGTCCATAAAACGTTACTTAAAAACTCCCTATTATTATCAGTTCTATCAAGAATCCACTGACAAAATGTGATTCTTCGTTCTCCGTCCTTTGGCTGTAGTCCTTGCACAGGTTGCAAATGGTAAGGACGTCTATGGTCATTTCTAAGAACACGGTGCTGAAATTCCCAAGGCACCAGAAACTCTCATAACACTTGTGGTCCGATCTCTATCAAACTCACGCAGAATCATACGGGTAAATCTGCGCTGACGAACATTCATGTTTTGATTCATTTGGAGATTTCCAAAACCATTTTCAATTGTTTGGCGATGCACTCTTACAAATACTGAGCGAGTTGGATGTCGTCTGTTTGGAAATCTTCGTGCGTATTCTCTGGCTGCTTCTGCTGCGTTTTTTTTATAAACACAGGTAAAGAAAACTAAATTTCGTGCATTCACAATTGCAAGAAAACGTTTCAGGTTTCAACAGACAACAAAACTAACTGTCAACTAATTGATGTTTAACCTTATTCTGCTTTCAATTTCAAAAATATTTGCAGTCACAGCGTACTTCTAAAAATTATCAAGATACTGATTTTTTAACGTTATTTTATCATAAATAATTAAAAATGCATCGAACCTTAAAGATCGAAATATCTCAAAAACGGCTAACTGTAACGAAAACTCACAGGACAGCTTTTTTATGTTGAAAAGAGCGAAGAATCAGTTTTTTTATTCAAAAAGCAAAAAATTGCACGAAGAAAAAGTTTTCGGTCATTTTAATACACTACAGGTACAGTAGAGAGCGCCCTCTAGCGGCTACAGTAGAACTATGCCCATAGTTCGTTTTGTCGTACCAAAAAACCCTTGTATACCAATTTTCACTGTTATACATCAAATATTGTTCGAAATATTTAAAAAAACTATTTTAGAAAGTAAATTTAAACACCCTGTATTTCGGAAGCCACGCATTTTTCGACCCATGTTTGTATAGACTTTATGCATTAATTTTAAAAGTTCAATCGAATCTTGAAGTTATGCAACAATAAACTGAAACACCCTGTATAATATCGGCACTAGAACGTGATACTTACAATACGAGAAAGCGAGACTTATAAACCTCCAGACAGGTTCTATACAATGCTGAGTTCGCGTGAAGCTATGACTACAATTTCTCTAAAGCGGGAAATTTAAACTACATGATTTAATTATACTCTGCAAGGAACAGCTAAAAGTAATTAAAAGCTTCCAAACACGGCTATAAAATGTTCTGCATCATACCAAATTGTCATTCACTACTTTAACATTTCTGTCAGGATACTGCATAAAGTAAACAGCGGGCAGCTCCGAAATAAACACGGATACAATTTCAAAATTTTTGCTGGCAAGCATAATATGCAACCGTTCAGTGACCTGAAAATTCTCGGCGCCTAAAATAAATTCAAGTGCGAATTGACGCGTTTGAATCGCCGAAAGGTAAATATACAGGTTTATTTACCAAACTGGTGGTACGGGGTCTGAAACACTCATTATTTCTCGTTGTTTGGAATACGCAAGTGATGTTGATTCAAACGTATATGTTTAGGTTTGGTTTCGCTTTTAAATTTTGCTTGGGGAAGGATATATCTCAATTTTTGGATGTTAGTATATTTATACGTTTCCAACCTTGATAATTCTGTGCACCTATTAGACATATCTCACACACCATAGATTGCCCGGTACATCAGCCATAGTCCTAGTAAGTGTTCTTTTATTACTGCCCCGCGGTAGCAAAGTGTTTCCTATGCTGTGGCCGCGGTGCCACGTCGGACGTATGGACCTGTTTGACTGAATTTTGTCTCAGAGTGTCAAGTTTGTGCTGAACATAATCATTTATGAATTAATAACGACGTTGCATGGAAAGTGCAGAGTGAATCTATTTGACGCCATTTTTTTACTGGAAATAGCTATTTGTTTATTGAAAATACATCGTATTACTTCGTCGCTAGAAAAATAAATTTGACCGAGTGTAATATGTATTCCTAGATAAACTGAAGTATGGGACATAAGTTTTGAGAAAAAATGGTACAGGCTTGATCAACGAATTTACGAGGTTTTGATTACGAAAATGAATCTACAACGCTGCTAGCAGACGATGATCCTCAATAGCATGCAATTTGGTTGAAACTTGTCTCAATTTTCGCTGATAAATGACCACTTCCCGAATTTTTCTAAAGCACGTACCTGCTTCTTTCGTCCATTTTGGGATTTCCGTCTGCTGTTATAAAGTTTTCGACACAGCAACAACCAACATTATCTGATTGGCCGAGCGTGTGGTACATTTGCCAGGTTATCTCCTGTCAGTACATAATTATGTTTTTCTGTTCCAACGATTTATGGCATATTGGCCAAAATATGATATTTAATATTATTTGATATTATTTTGATTAAACTTGATTTTTATGGATGATAGAGTAGATTACAGCAGGATTGCCTGACAAAATCTAGCCGCATTTAATTACAGACACCCCTGTTGTAATCTATTCTACTATTATTTATCGTTCATGAGAATCACGTTCTATCAAAGAACAGTTTTCGGTAAATTAATTCCCTTATTGCTAGTGCCTGGCCAAGTTCATAATTTCGGTTTCGGGTAACCGTCCAAGCCGTATATATTCCTGAGAATTTCAAGTTTGTACTAAATTAATTATCGAAATAAGTTAACCTGAGGGTCATTCAATTTGTTTACCTGCTTCATGGTAACTAGACCAGTCGTCAAAATCGGGAAGATATTTCACGGCTAATCTTATCTCTTACGTTGTGCACATTCACCATATTTAATAAGAACAAATCCGAAATGAAATATACACATCCACCATTTATTTAAATTGAAGAAAACCCGAACAAAAAATCGTTATGATGAAGTATAAATGAAACTCACCTAAATTTAAGTATTTTTTATGTACACCTTCATACGCAGTCCACTCAACATTCTTAAATCTACTCCTCTCACTACGGCCTCCATGGGAGGCATCTCCATCAGGGGATTCATTGGGGTTTCTGAAAAAAAAAAAACAGTATTTGATATATACAGTAGATATTTCGGTTATTTATAATCATAATTCTTTTACAATCGGAAATATGAGCATATGCAGTCTCCGTAATGAATAGATTCCAATAATTTGATCATGTTGAACTACCCAGATTTTTTTTGCCAACTACACAACAAAGCATAGTATGAGTATTTCTAATTTTAATTGCAGCACACAATGTGTAGGATCATCAAAAAAAATTATTAAAGCCCCTGAACCGCTACATTCCGTAAATATGCTAATTCGTAGATGTAAAATGAATCACAGGAACGTTTTAATCGGTGGACATAGCCACAAAAAAACAAAGCACATGCTAGACAAAGTAGGACTAGCTGTCCGGTAAGATCGTTCCGACTTGGTTTTTGTCTCAACTTATAACCAGTTCCTTGTCGTCCGAAAATGGCGCATGACAGTTTTGAAAACAGTATTGAGACCACTTCCTTGAAAGATGAGCCATCGAGTAACCAGAATTTCCCCGATAAAGAGCTGACAATTTAAATGATCTAGAAAGAAAAAAAGTAGAAGATATCAGAGTCAGATTCCGCTCTATTTGGAATAGTGGTATGTTTACACCCAGTAAAAAATATCTCGATTTTGGCTGCAGCTGACTGCAACTTTGACAGTTATGCGACATTATTCAATAATTGGCAAAATACATTGAAAACATATAAAACTCAAAATTGAGAGTAATTAAAACATTTTTTTGCATTTGTGTCCGCATCCCGTCAATTAATTTTAAGTGACCCTCAAAACGTACAAAATTCGAGACCAATCAAAACATTTTGGCAAACGTGTCCACCATGTTGCATCCGTCATTTTGATTAAAAAATCGATATCTAGTTTGTTACCAGCGTCCTCACAAACATACAAAACTTGAATTTGAGCGTACTTCATACATTTTTTTGCAAGCATCCATATTGTATCCGCTATTTTGATTTTTGACGAATCAATATCATTATGGTTGTCAGCGACCTCGAAACTACATGAAGTTTTTCGATAATGTTCAGTGAACCTTTCTAGTTTTCGTCATGTTTTAGATCACTGACGTCAGGATGAGGATATTTATTTACCAAATCTATGTTATTATTGTTGTTATATCATGAAATAACAAATATCTACTACATTCTAGCGATAGTACATATCTAAATTAAGGAAATATTCAGTCAGATCAATATGAATTGTGGCGCCTATGATGGATTTTCCTTCATGTAACGCCAACTGTGTTTTTGCGGATTCGATTCGGAACTTATGAGACTGCCCTCGTATTTTCAATTAGATAGAAACAGTCGCGCAAGAAACTAAAACTTTTTGCTTCATTTTTCTCTTTTTGTTACACGACATACTCGTTCATGAAACTCCTGACCGCAACGAACGCTGTCGTCCACTTACCCTTTCCTAATAAAGTTGCTCCAATAAATCATCATTGTCTCAGAAAGAGCCATTTCTGATTTGGTGTAGTTTTTTGTGAAGTGCGCCAGTCCTCCTACCAGTGGCGCACCGAAAAGGTATGGCAACTCCTCACCATGTATACAGCCTTGCCTCTGTAACAAACATGAAACTCAGGTGAAGTTTGTTAATTAGAAAGAAAGAAATTAAAAATGCGTTTACATTACTGTATATCAAAAAGTTTACCCATTAATTGTGTACGCTTTTGATTCTCAAGTGTTTGTAATATTTTTTAAATTTAGTTTATTCACGTATGCTGTTATTTAGGTTACATACCAGCTTATTGATCTCATTTAGCAGAACAAAAAAGTTCACGTGAACTTATGTATTTTATGGCTACTACAGGTATACTAAGTGACATATCAATCCGAACACCCAGTTTAAATGGTTTTATTTTAATAAAAGTTGGTGAATGTATTTATCTTACTGTAAATAACAAGTGAAAAAATTATCAGCCCTATCAGTTGGACATTCCGGTTTTTATACTGTTTTTTTTAATTCACTAACGCTCTAAAAATGAATATTCCAGCCGCAGTAAAGAATCAACGTTGGCGGATTTTGGTTCATGACATCCTTTACGATCGGTTACGATGCCTAGAGTACGGAGACCTGTAGGATTTCGTCAACTTAGTCAGTTTGATAGGGGCCGTATAGTGGGACTTCGGGAAGCTGGACTTTCTTTTCGGGCAATTGCAGTTAGAGTGCAAAGAAGTGTAGACACTGTGGTTAGGTGTTGTCAGGCATGGCTTCGAGAAGGCCGTACGCAAAGAGCAAGGGGCACTGGACGCCACCGTAGAACAACAGACCGTGAAGATCGCCGCCTAAGATTATTGGCCTTAACGGACGGTTTCTCCACTACCAGGTCCATTGCAAATGAATGGTTTGCAGAACACGGAAGACCTATTGGCATGCGATGTGTTTACCGACTAATGAGAAGTTTCGGCTTGTTTTCATACCGGCCACACTGGGTCCTCCCTTTAACTCGAGAACACCGACGTAATCGCCTTGAGTGGTGCAGACAACGGTCACTCTGGGATCAGGAATGGAACAGTATTGTCTTTAGTGACGAGTCTCGATTTTGTTTAGGCATGCACGATGGTCGTGCCAGGGTTAGAAGGCGACGTGGTGAAAGGAGGAATCCACAGTTTTTTGTTGAAAGACATGTTCATCACACTGTTGGAGTTATGGTTTGGGGTGCTATAGCTTATGGTTCCAGGTCACCTTTAATCTTCACCAGAGGTAACATGAACGCGCAGCCTTATATCCACGAAGTTCTAGAACCCCATCTTTTACCCTATCTTGACACCGTGGCAGATCCAACTTTCCAACAAGATAATGCCCGACCACATGTTGCAAGAGTCACAATAGACTTTTTTCAACATAATGATGTCACATTGTTACCATGGCCACCAAGATCTCCCGACTTATCCCCAATTGAGCACGTGTGGGATATGATGGGTAGGAGATTGCTCAATTTGCAACGTCCTCCTCAGACTCTAGAAGCACTTCGAGAGGAGTTGGTGGTTGCCTGGAATGAGATACCACAGGAGGACATTGACCACCTGATCAGAAGCATGCCTAGGCGTGTTGGAGAATGCGTAGCACATCAGGGTGCATCCACACATTATTAAAGGTCAAAGAGCTTTAAAGCAGTGCAATAATTTTGAAATTTGAAACCATTTAAACTGGGTGTTCGGATTTATGTGTCACATAGTATATATTGAGATACAAGTGCATTGCGTGTGTAACTTAGATGAAATTTGTGAGTCCATGGTAGGCTTTGTTGGATTTGATTTATACTGGTTATATTCAACTGAATTCTCCCAAGAGCAGCGCAGTCAAATTTTAACGTTGTATTTCGAATTTTAAGCTCATTAGTGGTTTCTTTGTGGATATGGTCAAGGGACTTTGAGACCAACGAAAATTTCCGCTTGCTCAAGCCATGGAAATCAGCTATAATGCGAAATTCGCGGAAATAAACTGGAACATGTCAAATGCTCCTAGATTGTTCTAGATTATGACCGGGTCTCATAAAAGGATAGAACTCCTAGATTTTAACCCAAAGGCAAATATATTACAGTATCTGTATAGTGAATATGCTTTGATGAAAAACTGTTAGCTTTGTTGTTATCCTCGCCTCGTGATCAATTTTAGGGCGATCCAGGTATGCTCTCACATTTCTGCTTAAATCTGTAAGTTTCTCTATGTGGTAAATTGTTTTTGTTGAAATTTATCTAAATCACTCGAATAATTTAAAGAAATTTAAAATATAGATATGAAAGAAATAAACATGAAATTCACCACTGGGATCTCAGAAACTGTAAGAGATACGAAGTCGCTCATAAAATTTCAATATGACGTGTCGTCTCTTACTCTCCGGCATCAACTTTGTTTTTTCTTATGGATTCCATATTGAATTTTTGCACAGATGAATAAAGTTTTTAATTTTGAAAAATGTATTATACGTCTTAGGTTGATATTAGTTATTAGAAAAAAGCAGAATTTCCTAGGTAAGCCTTGAAATTATCAGACAATCATTTGTTTTGGCCTACCAGATTTATCCCACAATAACTTTCAAATTCACATTGCCAAAAATTAGTTATTACAGAAAAACAGAAGTTCCTAGGTAGGACCTCAAATTTTAAGATTTCATTTAATAATAATAATAATGATAATAATAGCGTTTATTTGCAGAGCAAAAAAATACGAAGAGAAAAAAATGAAGAAACAACACCAATTCCCTACAAAAGCGATTAGTAAAGAGACATGCTGATCAAAGTACTAGCCCAACAAACAAAATAACAACAGAGGAGTTCTTAACCAAATTATATAAGTTGAAATTAAAAATAATAATTACAGGCGTCAAATATATATGTATATATATATATATACATATAATGCGAGCAGTAGTAATTGCTATTGCTAACGACCAGTTGGGCAAAAAATACAACCAATTATTAATTGGGAAATTGGCAATTTTTTTTTTAGGCTTTAGTACACTCTTTTAACGGTAATCTCGAGCTTTCGGCATTCTCTATGGAACCATCTTCAGGAGCTGAAAACACAAATATGATGCTAGCAACCAATACGGATTTGAATTAACAGGCAACTTACTCGTCGCTGAGGTTGCAGCCAAACCATATATATATATATACAGGGTGACTTCGAAGTTGAGTCATTTATTTTAACAGTGAGTAGATCTGATCAAAAGAAATGTTTTTTCCTTTACCATTTTTCTGGTAAAATTAAAGTAACAAAGTTATAGCCCTTTGGAAGTTTGAGTACCGCCCTGTCTCAATAATAATATTATGTGCTCGTGTTTGGCGACAACGGATATAATTCGCCTTATCGGTTCATCGCATCGGAAACAAAAAAGCGAAAGAATTTGGAACGATGTTTTTACAATTATTTCATTCAGTTGTATACACTCAGTGTCAGTCGGTAGTGGATAGTGGTCTCTGTTGCGTGGCTCAAACGAAATAAAAAATGGCACATGTTTATGCGGATCGGTTTCCCAATCGAGTGCAACCATCCCCTCGTGCCTTTGTTAATGTAGTACAACGGGTTCGTGAATCATTTGACTTAAGACCTCACATATGGACGGCATGCCGGTGCTCCAAGACCTCACGATCAAATACAGGTCCGCACTGAAATACTTGTCGGGAGGATACTTTATAAAACAAGGTAAAATTTTTTTAATTTTTTTTATTTTTACACACATATTTTGGTTTATCTTCCTTCTACAATCATTATCTGAAAATTAATGACTCAACTTCAAAGTCACCCTGTATATATATATAAAAAGAAATTATATAAAAAATATAGTTTAACGAAAAAGGTCAAATCACCTTAAGCAGATTTAACAAAAAAATATAAGAAAGAAGGAAACAATATAAAGTACAATTCATCTAATAGAAATTTTCTGTAACCTCTTTTAAAAGCTAATACACTTATAGACTTAAGTTTTGTGGAGACGTGATTGTACAAGTGATAGATAAAAAGAAAAAAAGATCAAACATATTGTGAACATCACTTCGATCTAATCTTATTATATAAATAAGGTGGAGTTTTATATAGAATAATCTTATGAAAGACCTCAAATTGAACCTAGCAACAGGGTTTAGAGCGCTGAGAAGAAGATAAATAGATCTGACAGTGAACAATTTTTAGAAAAAGTCAGGCCTTGCCTACAAAATAACGAATAACATGTCGAACATCTGCTATGATTTACTTCTGCTACCACCAATGAAAATTTTTATTTTGTGTTAAGGATTTACCATACCTTTTTATTTCCCTGTTATTTTCATCCAACAAGAGTCATGGACATCTATCGAAGTACATCATTGAACTTAGAACTAAAAGGTCCATTCAATTGCACAAAATTCCAATATAGCGTCCATATTTATGAAAAACAAAGTTGTTGAGGGAAAACGAAAGAAGGAATATCGAATTAAAAATTTGACTTAGCCATCTTGTAGCAATCTTGTAACAATGACCACATGCAATTTATTTCGAAATTTCATCCCAAAAAAGGTTAGGAAAAACTTAGTGATTTTGGACTGAATCTGGTATACCAATAGCTATAGCTATCTGATAATTTCAAGACCTACCTAGGAAATTCTTTTTTGAAATAACTAAGGTTTAACTATGTCAATGTATGACGTATTAGACATTTTTGGAATTAGAATTAAAAACTATTCACCTGTGCAGAAATCCATTATGGCATCCATGAGAAAAAATGCAGTTGATGCTGGAGGACAAGAGACGAAATGTCATATTCAAATTCTGATTATGCCATCTTGTAGAAGAGAAAAAGTGGCAAAGTTAACGTGCAATTTATTTTGAAATCCCACTACAAATAAAGTCACGAAAAACTTAAAACGATTTTGAGAAAATTCGGCTTTTTTCAGAATCTCTCTGGAAGTTCTTTGGATTTCTAAACTTTCGAAGCGGCAATTTGTTAATTACCTAAATATGCAACTTTGCCCTCTTTTACGCGACTTCGTATGTCCTACAGGCGAGGGTCGCTTATGTTGAGATTTTTATTCATGCTACTGCGTTTCGACCATCGACGGTAATGAGTGACTTGGTTTTTTGTG